GGACCAATTTGAACCCGAGACAGCCCTCGCGCAGCCCGGGCAATGAAAAAACAATGGCAGCTCGTTTGTCCAGGACTGTTGCTTCATATATGTGGCATAGTTGTCAATGTACTGTTGCTGCGGCGCGAGTGCATCAGACCTCCAAGCGGTTGTGTCACTGAGCTTGCGCGCGTGCGAGCATCCCCCTCCTCCTCGTCATCATGATCCACAGATTCCTCATTCGTTCCCCCGGGTATCCCCGCAAGGCCGTCAAAAGATCGAGTGTGTGCCACCTGTGTGTCTTCTTTCCTTTGCTCATGCACAGCATGTTCCGTCTCCTCGCACTCTCACATTGTATGCTTCCCCCACCTGATTCCTGCAGCAGCCTCTCCTCGAGCTCTTGTGACTCATTTGTTCCCAATCATCCTGTGGTGTTGGGCCCTCGTTTTGAAAAGACAGCGCCCCGCGAGTCCTCTCTCCTCTCCGTTCCTCCTCCTCCCCATCCTCCCCTCCCTCTCCTTGCCTCTGCCCTCCTTGCCGCCATGTGCATCATCATCATCGTCTGCATCAGCATCAGCATCATCATCATCATCATCATCATCATCATCATCATCATCATCATCATCATCAGCATCAGCATCAGCATCAGCATCAGCATCATCATTATGACCATCATCATGGTCATCATCGTCTTAATCATCGTCATCACCATCGTCATCATCATCATCATCATCATCATGGCACACACCACACACGTCTCGTGGCCCAATAGGGAGCCCCACCCGAAGCCCCAGTGGGAAGCTCGCATGCAGTTCCGCACCAATCGGCGTACCCCTCACACGTTTCGTGGCCCCATAGAGAGCTCTACAGAAGGCCCCAGTGGGAAAGTTCATGTGCAGCTCCACCTCCGGATTCGGCGTACCCCTAACGCAGTTCGTCGCCCCACAGGCAGCCCCACCAAAGGCCCCAGTGGGAAAGTTCGCTGCGGCGCTCTGCAAGCGAGCGCGCATATCGGCCGCGCGAAAAGCGGTCACGCGCGCACGCGCGCCATCCGCGAGCACGCGCGCGCGCACCGGGGGGCAGGAGGGAAACGAGGACGGAACATCGGGGAAAGACACCGAGATGCATCGGCGGCACCCGCAGCAAGTGAAGGCAGTGGAGGAGGAAGGGGGCGCGCACATCTGACGAAGGCACACTGCGCAGGCGCCCGAACGAGACAGCAGCGCCAGAGGCCACAACCGTGCAGCCCGACTTTCGCGCAGGGCCAGCGGCAAAAAAGTCAAACGAGCACTGGCACCCGAACGCACGCGAATGCAGATGCGAAGCAACCCGTCGGCCAATAGCATTCCAAGCCCCTTTCCTTCTGTCGCGGCGACAGGAACGAAAACGGCGAACGTGCATCGACAGCAGCTGGAGCAGGTCCAATTACTTGGGCCGCTTCTCTAAGCCGCGGGCCCGCCAGGCTCCAAATGGCTCCGCCAGCGCCGCGGACAACAATTCTGGTCTGGAGACCCCAAGGGCAACATATTCACTGCGCACCGAGCAGGCGCAGAAAATGTCGACATGGTCGATCCGGCACGGGCCCATTCAGAAGCCTCGCGGAAGCACTGGCAAGCTCTGCGCGCGGCAGAGTCTGCCAGACCCCCAAACAGCATCTTGCCGTAGATACTGGGGCGTTCGTAGCGCTCCAAGTGGCCAAGGCTGCCAGACAATTCGCGCAGCGAACGCAGCACTTAAGAATTGAAGTTCACGCAACGCTGAAGGGCACAAAGAGGTACCGCGTTCTCGCTGAAAACGTGTTGTGCTACTTGGATAATGACATTGCGCGATGCATATCGCTCGGGCACGTCGACAACTGAATGGATTCGAATGGGGCATTTTCGCAAAAGAGACAACTACAACTTAACTTATACAGTACAAACTAAGGGGTGCAACCTACGGGGCGCCCTCTTATTATGCATGCGTGTCTGGGGTTCTGCAATCCAACACAATACAGAATACTTCCATTCTCTGGCTACGGAAGCGCGCTTCGCCCGAACGGTGTCAACAATGAAGCACATGAATGAAAACTGAAGCTGTATACCAGCTCTGCTGTGTAAAAATATGGGTTGCATGTCGTAGCTTATGCGAATACTCGTCGGCCGTATCGCTGAACTCACCAGAGCAACCGACTAGACCAGACTAAACTCACCATGGTCGTGTACTCGTGCGTGTAAATGCGTATATGTAGATACGTATGCAGATATGCATATATGGGCGCAGGTACACAATTGTAAACGACTGCAAGCTTGTATGTGTATATGCATGTGCGCATGTAGACAGACGCATGGCTGCCCAGTCATGTAGTTACGCTTCTCCATACGTGCACGCTGGCATATGTGCGCGAATGTCTAGGAACTTTCGTACCTACGAGACTACGAGCCGCAATGCGCAGGCTTACCAGCATACAATCCGCCACAACTTGAACTGGCACGTTCATACTCACATATATGCACATCTGCCCATGCGGCTTCACATGTGAGGCATATTAACGCATACACAAGTTCAAACGTGAATGTGGGCCTGTGCAGGCGTACGCCCATGCGCTTATACACGCATATATGAATAAATGTATAAAGAGTACATATCTGTATGTACACAGACAGACTCACGATTGCACGTGTAGCTGAGCAAACATGTGTCGATTATTGCGTGTTGGAGCTGTACTGCGCATGTGGCTGTAGATGTGCTGCGCCTCAACAAATTCACGCATGCGGGTGAACTTGGATGAGCGTGTATGCGCCAACGTATGGGTAAATGTATTTGCATGCCCACAGGTACGAATGCCATTGGAACACGTGTGCAACCAGGTGCGTGCGCACATGCCCAAATGCGTGTGCCCATGCATTTTCACTGCAACCACGTGTACACCTGCAAACGCACGCTGAGCTGAGAACGCCTGCCTCTGCTCGACCCTGCTACGCTATCCACAAGCTCAGGTTGCACCTCCACGCTCTCTGTGTTCACTGCGTAATGCAAGGGCGTGTCACCTCGGCGAGCAATCCGCCCCATCTTCCTCCTCCGATACTGCCGCCCCTTCCTCCTCCTATTGTGCCGTCTTCTTTCTCGGTATACACAAACCCTGTCACCATACCTGTGGATTCCTCCTTCTGCATTATCATACATCGTTATGTCTCTTTCACTTGCTTCCTCCGTTCTCTTCCCTCATTCACCATATGTGTGTCATTCCTTCTGCGTCTCCCTCTCTCTCTATATATGTGTGTGTGTGTGCGTGTCGCTATCTCTCTCTCTCTCTCTATCTCTCTCTCTCTCTCTATATATCTGACTCTATATATGTCTATCTCTCTTCCTTCCATCATCCTCATACGATGTCCTCCGCCTCCTCTCCCTCCCCCTTCCCATCATGAACACTGCCTTAGTCACACAACCAGGAGTGTCGTTTAGGTTGTCGGGTTCCTCCCGATCGACCCTGGGACTAAACAAGCTGACCAGCATCCCGCACCTGTTGTTCAAAGCCTCCATCCCGCCATCACACAGCGAACACTCGGTCATGCAGAACACAAGTTGGAAAACGCCCATCCAGTGCAACGATAAGTCACACGTGAGTTTCAAGCATGGCTCTCGCACTAGCCCGAAAACTGCAAACCGTTATACGGATGGAACACCAAAATCCATAGAAAACCTGGCTCACTTGTGCTCGTCTCTAATTCTTCCTGGCCCCCTAGGGGCCAGGAAGAGGCCCAGGATAGACCAATTAGAAATGAAAGGACCTTGCCCCCCCAAAAAAATCCAAGAACTTTCGAAGAATTAGACATGAACCAGGTGTACGGATGGAACACCAAATCCCTAGCAAACCTGGCTCACGCCTCTTCGCTGCGCACACTCGTCATGACAGATCTGGCCGGTTGTCGTGGCGCTGCGCGCGTTCGCCGTGGCGCGCTGCGCGCAGTCGCCTCAGAGTGTCCATCGGCCAGCTTCGAAGAGGGGGGCCTGAACGTTCTCGATGCCTGGCTCTCGCTTGCAACGACCTTACACTCTATGACCCTAGCGCCTGAAATCCTCGACCGCTAGAGAGAGGTCGAGGACATTCGCAAAACCACTATCTCGCCATGGAGTTCCTTACGACCAAGGTTATCGGTGTGCTACAGATACACGCATGCAGATGGGCAAACGTCCATTCAGCACCTAGCACTTAGCATCTTCCAACAGTGCGGGGATCATATGGCCGTAGATGTCCGATCAATTCCAACTGGCAAGGCGGGTTTGTTCGAAAAACAGGCTGTCACGTAAGACCGCGCCAGCATTTCTATGACCATTGGGTTATACGGATGGGCGGCCACTCCTTTTCAAACTCGTGCTCTCGGGTCAGCTCCGCGCACCTTGTCTCAAATAGTTTGGATAGGACACCCTTTCGCACTCATTGAAATGTGTGGCCTTACGTGGTCAAGTATTCACAGCGCTCATGTGAAAGGATCAAGGCGGCCATCATAGAGGCTCATAGCTCCCTGGGACTCTCATCTTTCCAGTGGGCGCTCGCTTTACTGGAAACACCTCGCAAGTCGAGGGGTGTGATCGAAGTAAAACGGAGTGCCCATTACCAGGGAATCTATTTCGGCTCGTGCCACGCGTGTGGGCGAAGCGCAGCAGCGCGGATGCGAGGGAGGTATTCGGCCATTCCGCCAACTAGATACATTAGCCAATGTCCGCCGCTCGGCTCCCGAGTTGTCACGGGGTCATCCTGTGATTGTGCCAGGTTTTCCCGAGGTTCTTCGTGCGACTGTCTTGTGCGGCTGTCACATAGGATTGTCCCATGGTTGTTCGAACATTCGTTCCGTTCTTTTCCCGTGGCTTGATCTGCGTTTGTTCCGCAGTTCGCCGGTGATTGTCCTGCAACTACATGCAATGGATCTGTACAGCGCGATCGAGACTAAAACCGGAAGAGCGAGATTACCATTAAGCTGGGCGAGTATCAGATCATGCAATCAGATGGGAGGGCACCTAGATGGGTAGCTAGATCGGATGGTAAACCAGTTGCCCAGTATATGCATCAACCCTTGGACACATCGGTAATTAGAAATGTGAACCGGATGAAATCGTAATTTGTACCACGTTGGTTGCACCACGCTCTTCTAGGCTACGACAATTCCTTATGCCGTAGTTATACTTTACTATGATATGATATGCGATGCAAAGCTATGCTATGCTATGCTATGCTAGTCTATGCTGCGGTCAGCTGTGTCATGCAGTGCCATGCTATGCAATGCCATGTTATGCTTTGCTATGCTATGCAATGCGAGTGGACGAGTGCGAGTGGACGAGTTTGAGTGGACGAATGCGAGTGGCGGCGACGAGCCGGCTGGACCGGCACTGGGGCCCAGTGCAAGTGGCGGCGACGGGCGGCGGCGACGGGCGGCGACGGACGGCGACGAGCCCGCTGGACCAGCACCGGGGCCCCTTTACCTTTGAACACAGGTTAAGCCCCCCAAGTGCCAGCGTACTAGTTGGAGAAAATTACACGAAAGAAAAATGAGAAGCGTCGGCAGACCCACACACTTCACATGAACAACCCTACAAACAAATGCATTGCTCGAAAATATGAAAACATCAGTATGTTCGACACCTCGGGGAATCTTCAGCGCGGCCAGAGAAACGCCCACAACAAACAAAGCACAACAATAACAACAATCATGCTACCCTCATGCACGATGTTTCCACACGAAGCATGCGGCCATCATGATAACCATCCACGTCATGGGGGACTCTTGTTATATAGCGGGGTCCGTTATTCCCATTCCCAGATATCCCGCCCAATGAGGTCTTGCAAACACCTCCTCCGAGGAATTTCAACATATCCCGCCTCGAAAATACATGCCCGCGCCTTGCTGCGCCGATGCGAGACCACCAGTGGAACCCCAGCGAAGGGTAAAGCACAAGGAAGTATCGAACGACAGGATTGCCTTGGTGGGGATGGGCGCTGTCGGCGGTGAGGCAAGGACCTAGCCCTGAATAGAAAGGGAGGCAGTCTCGAGCCGGGTTGCTGTTGTTGCTGGGAGCGGCGCCAATGCTGAAAAGAGTAGGGCGCCAGTCCAGCGTAAAACGGAAGGAAGTCTCGGGCGGGAGCGCTGGTTTTGTTGGGACGGCGGCTTTCGGCGGCCAGGAGGAACACCGCCTTGAGTAAGAAAGGAAGAAGCATCGAGCGCGAGCCGTGGTTGTGTCGGGACGGGAGTTGTCGGCGGCGGGGAACAGAACCGCCCCGAGGAAAAAGAGAGGAAATCTCGAGCGGGAGCGTTGTTCTTGCTGGGAGCGGCGCCAATTCAAAAGAGAGTAGGGCGCCAGTCCAGCGTAAAACGGAAGGAAGTCTCGGGCGGGAGCGCTGACATTGTCGGGGCGGCGGTTTTCGGCGGCGAGGAGGAACACCGCCTTGCGTAAGAAAGGAAGAAGCATCGAGCGGGAGCCGTGGTTGTGTCGGGACGGGAGTTGTCGGCGGCGAGGAACAGCACCGTCTTCAGGAAAAAGGGAGGAGGCGTCAAGCGGAAGCGATGTTCTTGCTGGGTGCGGCGCCAATTCAAAAGAGAGTAGGGCACCAGTCCAGCGTTAAACGGAAGAAGTCTCGGGCGGGAGCGCTGGTTTTATCGGGGCGGCGGTTTTCGGCGGCGAGGAGGAGCACCACCTTGAGCAAAAAATGTAGGAAGCATCGAGCGGGAGCGTTGTGTTTGCTGGGGGCGGCGCCGATGAGAGAAAGACTAGCGCGCCAGTCCAAGGTAAAATGGGAGGAAGTCTCGAGCGGGAGCGCTGGTTTTGTTAGGACAACGGCTTTCGGCGGCGAGCAAGAACACCAGAAGAAGGCTCGAGCGGGAGCGTTGTTGTTGTTGTTGTTGCTGGGGGGCCGGTTTTGGCGGTCCCCCAAACCGCTCGAGCGTGAGCCTCATGTTCAATGAAAATGTAGCCGGCGCCTCGGCGAGAGCGCCAGGGCGCAAGTAAGGGCTTCAACAAGAATTGTTTTGTAATTAACACTCAACAACAGCAACAACAACAAAACAACACCAACTACAACAATAACAGCGACAACATCAACAACCAAAACATCCGTAGCAACAACAACAACAATGACAGCCACAAGAACAACAGCCATAACAACAACAACAACAACAACAACAACAACAACAACACCAACAACAACAACAACAACAACCAAACACACAACAGCAGCAGCAACAACAACAACCACAACCACAACCACAACAACAACAACCACAACAACAGCAGCAACAACACCAGCAACCGCAGCAACAGCAACCTTGGGGGTGTAGCTGCCTTACCTGCTACGTGGATGTGGTGCAGCCCCTACGACAGCGGAAGAAAACGCAGATGAAAGCTGGAGGGAGAAGAATGGAGCACGAGAGAAATTAGCAAGGGGAGGGGGCCAAGGAGCAGAAAACACGTGGCCGAACCAGACGGGCAGACTGGGCGGGCAGACCCTAGCGGCCGGGTCGGGAGGGCGGGCCCAGGCGGCCAGATCGAGCAGGTGGGTTGCTGAAGCGTGAGTCCTGCATGCATCACGAGGAAGTTGCGAGCGACAGCGCGTTTCCCAAGTAAATCGTGAGAAAGGCCAAAGCGAGAGTGTGATATCTGAGTGTCGAGGGCGCGGCGTACAAATGAATTGCGAGGAAGTCCCACGCGAGAGCGCGATTCCCGCATACATTGTGAGGAAAACCCGCGCGAGACCGCCTTTTTCGGCAGCCGACTTTCCCAGCCGTGGGGAAATTCGAGTTCGGCCTGGGGCAGCTATCACGACTTGCAGGGGTTCGCGCTGCCAGCGAATTTCTGGCGACTTGTGGGCACCCCTTCTTTCTCTACAGGTCGTCTCCTTTCAAGGGTTTTTTGGCAGCTGAACCTCAGTTACTAAAAAAATTCTATGATTGGCTGAACCCCCAGGAAGTGCTTTGGCGATCTCGCCTCGGCGCCGGCTGCATTTCCTTCGACATTGAGGCTCACGCCCAAGCGTTTCGAGGCACCACCCAAGCATGCC